GTAGAGTAGTAAAAAAAAATATTAGTTTTAATAACCATTAATTAGCAAAAGATAGCAAGTATTTTCAAAAGATTAACTAATTTTTTTTAAGGTTTCAAGACCTGTGATCTGGATTGGGGTTAGTTTAAATGAATGAAAATTAACGAGAAATATTTAACCAAAATATTCTTTTAAATAGATAAATCAGAGTCCGAATTTAATAAATTTGAGCCGCGTCTTAACTCCCCCAAAAACCGGTTTCAATTGAGCGCCGGCTTAAATCTTGAAACATTGAATACGATTTTAAGTGAAACCCACCATGTTTGAACCGCGTCTCAAATTTAAACCGCGGCTCAAATTCTTTAAATTTGGCCTCAGGAGAACTTGATTTTCCGAGAATACATATATCTATTAAATGACCCTAAATGCAAAGATGGCATTATCGAGGCAGAGAACTCTGAGTATTTATCTCCTAATAAGTGGATGAATTGCCGTAAAACTGGATTTTAATTATGTATACCTAATTATACCGAATATTGTTTAAAGTGGTTTTAAAAAATTCCAATGTAAATATATTTGTCTACGACTTCTAGAAAATAAACAATAATATTTCTGAAATATGAAACAGTTGTAAAATCAAATAAACAATAATATTTCTGAAATATGAAACAGTTTTAAAATCAAATAAGCAATAATATTTCTGAAATATGAAACAGTTTTAAAATCAAATAAACAATAATATTTCTGAAATATGAAACAGCTTTAAAATCAAGTAATCAACTTTTCTTTCGATTAATAGAGAGAAGTCTGACATCCGTGACCAGTCAAATTTATAAAAAGGTACCGTTGTGCATCGGAAACTTCACTTTAAATTACGCCTACAGTCCCTTTAAGGATGAGTAAAACCTTGCAACCAAGAACCAAGCCTTAAATCAATTAAATAAATGAAAAATAAAAACATACACTATCGTTGCTTAAAAGCAAAAGTTTGCTTGTTTCACCAAGGGATGTGTGCTTACATATTAGGTTTTGTTTGTTTCTTCATAAAATACTAAATTCTAACCAGGTCAATCAATCCATCAATCAATCCATCAATCAATTCATCAATCAATTCATCAATCAATCCATCAATCAATTCATCAATAAATTCGTCAATCAATCCATCAATCAATTCATCAATCAATTCATCAATCCATCAATCAATCCATCAATCAATCCATCAATTATTCCATCAATCAATCAATCAATCCATCAATCAATCCATCAATCAATCCATCAATCAATCCATCAATCAAATCTTTAAATCAATTTATAATATAATGAAATGATCAATTCATTGCTCATCAATTGTTTCATCGAACAGATAATTAATTCATCAAAATATTCAAAAATTCTCACGATCATTCTCAATTTCAAGCCTCCGTAACATTCCTTAATTGTTCTAATTAAATGGTAATTTAAAACTTATTATTTGTCCAATCCGGTTTATTTTAAAGAGAAAAGTATTCAGGTTGGTTGGCAGAGTTAGACCGTGAGATATTCACAGAGTTAGAAAACAATATGAACTCTACGAGTGAGAAAATGAGAACGGAGAGTTAGAAAGTTAAAGTGTTAGATAATTATATATTAGGAGAATTAGATAGAGAGTTAGAAAGTTAGACAGTTAGACAGATAGAGATAGTTAGATAGTTAGATAGCTAGAGAGTTAGCTATAGTTAGAGAATTAGATGTTTAGATATTGGAATATTATGAGAGCTAGATAGTGACCGTCTGAGACAATTAGAATATAAGAGAGTTAGATAGTTAAATGGTTAGATAGTGGGATATTAAGAGAGCTAGATAGTGTCAGTCTGAGACAATTAGAATATAAGAGAGTTAGATAGTTAAATGGTTAGATAGTGGGATATTAAGAGAGATAGATAGTGACAGTCTGAGACAATTAGAATATAAGAGAGTTAGAGAGTTAAATGGTTAGATAGTGGGATATTATCAGAGATAGATAGGGACAGTCGGAGACAATTAGAATTAAAAAGAGTTAGAAAAAGAATGAGAGAGAGAGAGAGAGAGAGGTTCAGTTAGGTAGTTTCCATAATGTAATATTAGAGTAACAAAAACAGGAACAAAACACGATAAACTATTTTCACGGGTTTTTATCAACTTTTTGCTGCTTTAACAATTGGTTCGGTAAATTCAAATTCATAACTCACGAACAAATTAGTGGGAAATTAGTCAGATACAATTCAATTATAATTTACAGGGTGGAAATGTAAAGAATTGTAAAGGGATTGTTCAGTTTTATAATGTAAGGGCGGTTGTACCAATCAATGAGATTTCTAGTAACCCCGAGTTTACATCGCTTGACTTGGAAAAAAGATTTGATTGTATTAGAGTTATATTCAAAGTGCATGACAAAGGAACTTGGCTGTTTTTTTGTCATTTTTGACAGAATATTCAAATTTCAGCTAAGAACGAAAGTTTATTAAACAAAATATATTTTTCGTAAAGGAATAATTTCGGCAAACACCTTTAAAAATAAAACAAAAAAATATTCTTAACAATAAAAATAAAAATTAGGTTTTTAATAAAGTATGTGAATTTTTTTTTTGATAGACTGATCAATTATTTAATTTAATCTCTTATCTGTAAGTATTAATATCCAAGGTCAGTTTGTTCACGTATTGTACATATAGGTCAAATTTAAACACAATTTTGCGTACTAGCACAGGGTGCCAATAAAAGTATCATAAAAACAAAGAAACAGCTTGAATGGATTAAAAAAAATCAAGGAAGGAAGTTTTCGACAAACATATATAGAAGAGAATAATTTTTCCTTTTTACTTCTATAACTCCTCAAATATACAGAAATTATTATTTTTGGTAATCACAGTTTGCACAGTTAGAACGAAGAATATAGATCATAAACACCCATCTATATTTCTCCGATATCTTACTAAACTTATCTAAACCTAAGTGTCAAGCCATGATACAATCCACGAAATTTTTTGTGAAAATCCGCTAATTATTTTTGTTTTGTTTTACGATGTACACAAAGAGAACATGTTCACAATTAATTTAGAAGATGGGCGCGAAGCGCCCTATAAGGCTAGTATCATATAAACAGTTAATGTATATGTCACAAGAATTAAAAGAAACATTTGTGATTTTGTAACTTCAGAACATTCTCCCTTAGTGATGCCCTTTAGGAACAAAATTAGGTAAATGGGCCTTTAAAAACTTGCAAGAATAAAACGAGTTTGATAAATACTTTAAAAATCCTACACAGAGCCATTAATTACGTAAGAAACCTCATAGTCAAGGTGCCCAAGGGGTAACACAGGGTTTGGTCTTTTTTAAAAATAATTTAGTTTGTTTTTATTTTTTACATTCCGAGATATCATGTTTTCCTGTCAAGCTTGGCCGGGCGTGAAGATTATAAAATTAGGAATTATTATTGGAGACATTACATTTACAAATTTATTATACATTTTTTTGAAATCTCATTTTGATTCATGATCTTTTGAACATAGATCATTTTTGATTGTTTTTCATTAATTATCATTTTTTTAGAATTTTAATCATTGCAATACAAGTCAAATTTTAGTATCACTTTATCTTTGCAACTTACTGGCGGAAAGACTCAACTCCTGAATCTACATATACCTTGATTGAATCTGTCCATTTGTATCCAATAAACGTCCAACCGGCTGAACCGATCGGGCCCAAATTTTGCGTGGGACCTCACATGACCCCAGGGAAGGGTTTCGATGCTTAAAATTAGAAAAGTTTGTGTCCAAAGTTTTTGTTAAATTTTGAAGATGCGCGAAAAAATATTATTAAATCCGCAAACTTTTTTTTTGTTATTGTTTTATATTGTAAAAGCCTAGTACTTTATATCATCTCTAAACAATTCCAATTTACCCCCCCCCCCACACCGATCCCTCCTGATTTAGAAATAATATTCTCATATAAACATTTATTGAAATCGTTATGATTTAGAGCAAATCAAATCAAAAGTCTAAAATATTTATCATTTTTGTATATATAATAAAATATATCTACGTATAGCAACTTGATATTTACTTAAAATTTTAATAAAAGAATCAATGTCTGTATGAACTAAAGGAATTGAGTTTTTGCCACAAATTCAGTTTTTGTAAAACCTATATCTTTGCAGCCTTATGATGTAAACCTTTTATCTAATATCATTCATAGATTGAAATATTAAAGGTCTACGACATTGGGCTGCAACGATATTGAAATTAGAAAACCAGAGTTTGTTGCAAGAACTCAATTCCTTTGCAAACGTAATATGTCAAGTTAAGGACTAACCACTTTTTCAAGAAAAAGTTATCTGAGATCCGAACTTTTGTATGGGATGGCGCTAATCCACATACACCAATATTAACAGCGGAAACTTTTAATTTGTCAAGATTAAATGCGTAATTAGCTTAAACATATAATTAGCCGAGAGCAGATATTTTGAGGAATAATGATTGGTCGGAATTAACTTAATTGATACATGATTAGAGTTTCCGAAGAAAATCATAAGTTCTAACCTCTTAATTAATTAAATAATGGTTTACTCTCTAATGTATACATTATATCTAAAAACACACTATTTAATACGTATAAAGATGTTTATTGTTTTGAAACAATAATGTATGCAGTATACATGTTAAGGCAGGTTCACTTTATCAAATCAGGTCACAATGAGTTGACAGTTTTATTATTTTATATTTTACGTAAAGGGTTTCAAATTCTTCATTTTAGTATAAATACATTTGCTAATTCTAACCCTGAATAAAGTTGTTTCAGATAATTATTAGTATGATGAAAGATAATAATTTTTCAAATTTAAAATATTCAAAACTCAGAGCCTTTTCTTCTAGATCGCGTTTTTTCCCTAACTTTTCTAACCAATTCCTTACATATGAATGTTTCTCCAAGAATGAACTAAATCTGTGTTTTTTGCTAATTCTAACTCCACCTCGCAAATAGTACAAGAGAACGTGATACCTTACCTTTAACAGTTCCTCTCCTCCCCTGTCTCTCTCTCCTCAGCATACAAATTATAATCACTTTTCACTTGTATCACTTATATCACTTTTCACTTAGTCTCTGCAGACCAAACAGTTCAGAATCTGAAAAAAAAGATTAAAATTTTACATTTTGAAAATATCTATTTTTGCTAAGTCATCAAAATTCTCTTCCTTCATTACAGAGAGTAGATAGATTTTGTTGCAAAATACTTGGACATTTTCTCTCAGGGAAAGCTGTCAAGGTATGTTCAAATCGTAGAATTTTCTTCTCCCTTCTTGTTTTTTTCGTACTTTAACTTATACAAATTTTGGTAAATATATTTTTAATATATATAAATAAACAAAAAGAGAATAAGAATAAGTGACAAACAATCCAGAAACAAATTTACAATATCAGTTTTAAATCCTTGTATCTTTTCTATTCTAGGTATTTATTTAATTTATCCTTGTTTATTTATTTTATACTTCCTTGTTTATTTAGTTTAATTTATCCCTGTTTATTTATTTTATACTTCCTTGTTTATTTAATTTAATTTATCCTTGTTTATTTATTTTATACTTCCTTGTTCATCTAATCTATCCTTGTTTATTTAATACATCCTTGTTTATTTAATTTTTCCTTGTTCACTTAATTTATCCTTGTTTATTTAATATATCCTTGTTTATCTAATTTATCCTTGTTGATCTAATTTATCTTTGTTCATTTAATTTATCCTTGTTCATATAATTTATCCTTGTTATTCTAATTCATCCTTGTTCATCTAATTTATCCTTGTTTATCTAATCTATCCTTGTTCAACTAATAAAGCCTTGTTTATCTAATGCATCCTTGTTTATCTAATTTATCCTTGTTTAAATAGTTCATCCTCGTTCATTTATTTTTCTTTTTTGTTCATTTTACCTATCCTAAACTTTTTCTTTTCTTTTTCTTTTCTCATATTTGTATGCTTAAAATAAAAACTAGAGGAGCTGCGAGGTCACCAAGTCGTATCAATAATGTCGTCTTTATTCCTATAAATCAAGTGTTTTTAATCTTCGTATTTCTCATATACACAGCCATATTGATTTAATTCAAATTTAAAACAGACAACTAGCTGTTGTTACTCTAATTACTCACCGATTGTTTAAATAAAACTTACTCCCTGCCAATCAAGTTAATTACTCGCTGACTAGTTACTCAGTTGTAAGGTAATCACTCAAATATTCGCTAAGGGTTCATCTAGATCATACATTTTACATTATGCGGTAGATATACATTATATTTTTTGCATCGTTTGTCCTAAACGAAGAATTAAGTTTTACAAGAATTTTTAAGTTTTTAATTCATCTAACTTTTCACTAGTTGTTCATCTAACTATTCGCTAGTTGTTCATCTAACTATTCACTAGTTGTTCACTTAACTTTTCATTAGTTGTTTATCAAACTATTCACTATAGGTGTTCCTTTAACTATTAATTAGTTCATCTAACTATTCACTAGTTGTTCATCTAACTATTCACTAGTTGTTCATCTAACTATTCACTAGGTGTTCACCTAACTATTCACCAGTTGTTCACCTAACTATTCACCAGTTGTTCATCAAACTATTCACTATAGGTGTTCATTTAACTATTAATTAGTTCATCTAACTATTCACTAGTTGTTCATCTAACTATTCACAAGTTGTTCATCTAACTATTCACTAGTTGTTCACCTAAATATTCACTAGTTGTTCATCTAACTATTCAATAGTTGTTCACCTAACTATTCACTAGTTGTTCATCTAACTATTCACTAGTTGTTCATCTAACTATTCACTAGTTTTTCATCTAACTATTCACTAGTTGTTCATCTAATTATTCACTAGTTGTTCATCAAACTATTCACTAGTTGTTCATCATACTGTTCACTATAAGGTGTTAATCTAACTATTCACTAGTTGTTCATCCAACTATTCACTAGTTGTTCATCTAACTTTTCACGAGTTGTTGATCTAACTATTCACTAGTTGTTCATCTAAATCTTCACTAGTTGTTCATCTAACTATTCACTAGTTGTCATCCAACTATTCACTAGTTGTTCATCTAACTTTTCACGAGTTGTTGATCTAACTATTCACTAGTTGTTCATCTAACTATTCACTAGTTGTTCATCTAACTATTCACTAACTATTTTTTCTGAGTTGCATTTGATGACAATTACAAAAAATGACATTTGCGGACTGCTAAGATAAAATTTTATTTTTAATTGAAGTTTTTAATGAATTGAATTAAATATACAAGTTCAGATTAGTAATGTTTACTTTAGTGAATTGTCAAACCTGAGAAGTATGTTTTATGTCTGAGTGTTGTGTGTCCGTATACCTGAGTGTGTGTCTGCTACCCCCCTGTATAACTAGAGGGATGAAACCTGTCTGCTAGAGAGCTAGAAAACTCTCCACCGCCACCACTATTTTCCCAGCCTCTGATTGGCCTAGATGATCACGTGACGGGGTCTTTTTAGATCACGTGACCAGGGCATGATAACCTTGACTGGGTGGATTTTTAAAAGGCCTGGCTTGCAAGGGTGCGGGGCTGGTGGGCCCACTCTCCAGCCTACAGGGTACAGGGTTTCCTTTACAACAGGTGTGCAGGGGGAGGTGGAAAGGGAGAGAAGGGGGAGTAGGGGAGAAGGGCCGGAAGAAGGGAGAGAAGTAGGAGAAGGGGGAGAGGGGGAGAAAGGAGAAAAAATGGATAAGAACGAGAAAGGGGTAGAAGCTGGAGAGAAGAGGGATAAGGACGGGCAAGGATATAGTAAATTATAGTAAATTTGAGCGACTGGGGGAGAAGGGGGAGAAGGGGAGAAGGGGGAGAA